CAGCACATGATTATTATTTATAATAGTGTTCCCTGAATGGAGACAGTGTAATGGCAAGTTGAGAATGGGAATTGTGGTCATGTTGATTGTCAGAATGTGGCATGTAAAGCATTGCACACAGTGTGGTGCACACGATAACACTTAATTCCTGAAGAACTGAAACATGATACTCAATCAACAGCTTCCTCAGCTGTAACTTTCAAACCACACCTCCAGTGCAGCTTTCATCTTTCTTAACCTGAATCTAAGAAACAGGCCTGGTAAGATCCATCTGCCAGAAACCTTTGGGACTGAAAAGTTCTTTGCACTAACAAGACGCTAGTGCAAGCCTGGTGAAGTGGGTCCTGATCCATGAAAGCTAGCAGATTGTATGATTTCTTTAGTGGTCTATAAAGGTATCACCTACTCCAGCATTTGTATTGTGTATTGACCACATGGCCCTCTTTTTATTTCCACGGAATTGGTGTAATAGAATATATAATATAGGAAAAAACATGGAGATGATTTCTTTGTGACCAATTTTATTTATTTATTAAATTTATACCCCGCCCATCTAGACCAAAATCTACTCTGGGCGGCAATTAGCCGTATATCAGAAAGATATAGAAAGCATGGGTAACAACAAGACCAGTGGAGGTGATGATATTCCAGTTGAACTATTTAGAATCTTAAAAGATGATGTTGTTAAGGTGCTACACTCAATATGGCAGCCAGTTTGGAAAACACAGCAGTTGTCAGAGGATTGGAAAACATCAGTCTACATCCCAATCCCAAAGAAAGGCAGTGCCAAAGAACACTCCAGCTATCGTACAATTGCACTCATTTCACAAGCTAGCAAGGTTATGCTAAAAATCCTACAAGGTAGGCTTGAGCAGTATGTGGACCGAGAACTCTCAGAAGTACAAGCTGGATTTCGAAGGGGCAAAGGAACTTGAGACCAAATTGCCAACATGTGCTGGATTATGGAGAAAGCCAGAGAGGTCCAGAAAAACATCTACTTCTGCTTCATTGACTATGCAAAAGCCTTTGACTGTGTCGACCACAACAAACTATGGCAAGTCCTTAAAGAAATGGGAGTGCTTGACCACCTTATCTACCTCCTGAGAAATCTATATCTGGCATAAGGAGCAACAGTTAGAACTGGATATGGGACAACTGATTGGTTCAAAATTGGGAAAGGAGTAAGACAAGGCTGTATATTGTCTCCCTTCTTATTTAACTTATATGCAGAATACATCATGGAAAAGGCTGGATGAATCCCAAGCCGGAATTAAGATTGCTGGAAAAAATATCAACAACAGATATGCCGATGATACCACTCTGATGGCAGAAAGTGAGGAGGAATTAAAGAACCTCTTATGAGGGCGAAAGAGGAGAGCGAAAAAAATGGCCTGAAGCTCAACATAAAACAAAACAAAACAAACTAATAACATGGCCACTGGCCACATCACCTCCTTGCAAATTGAAGGGGACGTTATGGAGGCAGTGATAGATTTTACCTTTTTGGACTCCATGATCACTGCAGATAGTGAAAGCAGCCACGAAATTAACATATACCTGCTTCATATACCTGAATCCATATACAGTAATAATACACCAACACAACTTCTTGGGAAAGTGATGAGAAACCTAGACATCATCTTAAAAAGCAGAGACATCACCTTTCTACAAAGGTCCGCATTGTCATAGCTATGATTTTTCCAGTAGCGATGTATGGAAGTGAGAGCTGGGCCATAAAGAAGGCTGACCACTGAAGAATTGATGCTTTTGAATTGTGGTGCTGGAGGAGACTCTTGAGAGTCTCCTGGACTGCAAGGAGAACAAACCTATCAATTCTGAAGGAAATCAACCCTGAGTGCTCACTGGAAGGACAGATCCTGAAGCTGAGGCTCCAATGCTTTGGCCATCTCATGAGAAAGAAGAGAAGACTCCCTGGAAAAGGCCCTGATGTTGGGAAAGTGTGAGGGCAAGAGGAGAAGGGGATGACAGAAGACAAGATGGTTGGACAGTGTCACCGAAGCTACCAACATGAATTTGACTGAACTCCGGGAGGCAGTGGAAGACAGGAGGGCCTGGTGTGCTCTGGTACATGGGGTCATGAAGAGTTGGACACGACTTAATGACTAAACAACAACAGAAAGAAAAGTGTAGCAGTCATGGAATGTGTCTCAACTAAGAGAGAGCTGCAGATAAATTTAATAAATGTGCACACTTGTGGGTCATCCAGGTCATCCTTGAAGACAAAATGAGAAGTCCTTACTGTATATAGCACAGAACAGCAGTCACCTAAATTTGTAGCTGGTAAAAGACTTTTTAATTCTGAGGTTAAGCCTATTGATTTAAAGAAAGATTGTTGCTGCTTAGTTGTTAAGAGCTCTATCACAAGCTGAGACACCACACGTTTGATTTCCAGAATCTTGATTATTTTGTACAGAGATAGTAGTAATGGGCAATATTAGCATTATTTGAATTCCTTTGATGTCTCCCCTCTTTCCTCATTCTCATAACTGCAAGAAATTAAAAAAACACGGGCCACATTGCATATCTGAAGTATTCAAGATGCCTAGCTAAACCAAATTTCCTGGTATCTTTGAGCAGATATTCTGTTGGGAGTTTCTGTTGTGGTATTTAGGGAGGATCTTTGCCAAATGAGGTGGTGGTTTAGTTTAATGTTCATCATTTGGTGTATGAAATTGGCATTTGGCAAATATATTTAAAAAGCCAGGGAGTCCTTTGCTGGAGTAAAACCTAGTGTGTCAGATACAGTGTACAGTATATCTATAGCATGAATTTATGTAAGTCTTTTTGTGGGGGTGAGTTCTTGTTTATAACTGCATATTAGGATTAGAAGGGGTTGTGTTTACTGTTAATGTTTATCTGAAATCTGTAAATCTGTAACTTTTTATGCTTAGTAATGATTCAGTTGTGAATAAGCAAAAAGCTATATAAAGTTTAGGCTATGTTTTCCAGAAATCCTGACTATGAAACTGTTCTTGGTGTGCATTTTGCCACCAGAGTGTTACTTGTGATGCATACACACAAACAGTGGAAAGCTTAGCTTAGATTGAGACTCCCATTCTTGAGTAAAGCACAGTTTTAATGGGAGAAAAACTTGTTATAATTGCACAAAGCTGTCCTCTGTGTTAGTGTCATGTAGATGTGTTGTAAAATAGTTGTTTGTGCTAGTAAGGGTTGCTGTGCAAATCATTTAAACTTTGGAATGTTGTTTGGGAATACAGATGTAGTAGAAGAAATATTTACCTGCATTGTTGGTAGGGTATATCTGATGAAAATCTTGATCTTAAGGTGAAGGCTTGCTTACTGTGTACAAATTGGAACAAAGGATAAATATGTTCAACTGTGTTGTGTGAGTGCTTGAATTGTTTAGTGAACAGCAATCAGTGAAATTCCAGTGGTGCAGTTATTCATGAAAATGGCATGATTTGTTTGAATCTACTGCTTACAAACCTCTCTTTCACTGAACTGTATATTTACAGGCCTTGTTTGTATGTAGTCACAGTTCAGAATTGAGTAAAGAGACTATTCAGGCTATTTCTGCCTTGTTCTCCATCATGGCTGCAAGAGAAACAAGGCAGAAAGATTGGAATCATCTGCTTCTTGTTTTAAACCAGAGTGGAATTTATATAGTTGAATTTATTTTAATAATAAAAAAATCCATTTTAAAAATTCAAATTGTTAACTTGCATTTTTATTCAAGGAATCATTCCGTTTTGAACACCCATTGTGAGGTTGTTTATATTATATTGCTCTTTTTGCTGTTTTTTGACCTGCTTTTGTTGTGTGGACAGTCATGTTTTATTCTCTGTGCGAGGGCATTCCCTGTGCTGATGTCTTGGTGATGTGTCTGAAGTTCTGGATGCTGTCACATTGGGAAATCAGCAACTATGCCTGCTGCTTGAAATTTTTTCCTTTTAATTTTTTTAAATAAACCATTTGATTTCAGCTCTGCATTACATAGGCACTAGAGTCTTTCTGTCTGCCCTGTTGATGCAGGACTATGTCACTTAGAATCAGAAAGAGGAAAAAATTAACTCTGGACAACATGATTATGGACAGGGACAGAATGCAAGTGTAATCAAGACAGACCCATGGGCAAATCAAAGTGCCAACTCCGGGTTTGTTTAAGCCCATTTAAAGAGCAGTATAGTTTCCTGCACCAATCAGCCTGCTTCAATTGAGGCTGCCCCATGAACAGGAAAAGCAACAAAAAGAGCTTGTGACATGAATCCATATACAGTAATAATACACCAACACAACTCAGATTATTTGGGCAATGTAGTTGCACCCTTACTTTCTTTGACAAAGCATTTTTTTTTTTTTTTGGCGTGGAAGACTTTATATGTATAACTTCTCTTTGGTAATGTGCTGAAAAGCTGCTGTCTTTGACATGAACCTAAGGAACTAGATTAGTTTTCTTGAAGTCCTTGACTAGTTGTGGTCTCTACTGAGCCAGGAACCTTTAGAGGAAAAACCTTAGTACTGTTAGGCTCCTGTTTCAGTTTAATTTAGAGGCTAGTCTCTGTAATCTGTGATACATAGGCTGTTTGTTTTTGTTTGGTTTGGTAATAGGGACCTTCCTTTATAGACAGGCCATTTCCTTTCTGTGAAATCAGAATTCTACACAAGCTAAAAATGCTAAGTGCCGATCCAGTTAGTGTTTTACTAATATACCTGATCTGTAGACAATTTTGATTTTGAAATGATTTTCATGTTACTTTTGTTTCACATTGCATGCCACCTGAATTTAATTTCTCATTTTAATATGGTGTGATTGTTTAAAGTTTTGAAATACTCTGAGCACACCCTGATACTTTTTGAAGAGGCAGGTTACAAATGTAATACAAATTAATGTAAATAAATGTGTTTTGTCACAATGCAAGTGTTAGAAGTATCTAGCACAACAGGTTTTCTGTTGCAAAACACTGAAATGATTAAAGTACGCATGTTATACTGAGTCAATCTCTGTTTTTCTTTTTTAGATCTTGAACCTAACAATTGTGCATCTGTGTGTATCTTCAATGTAGACCACACATCATCTGTAAATCATCCTATATGTATCCCTTGTCATGGGTTTCAGTCACATCCTTCTTTGTCTTCACCTAATAGATTGCATAAAAGCTATGAAGAATGTGATATCTCAGAATCCAAATACAGTCCTCTAGGTGGTCCTAAGCCCTTTGAGTGTCCCAGTATTCAAATTACATCTATTTCCCCTAACTGTCATCAAGGAATAGAAGCCAGTGAAAATGAATTGCACACAAATGGCCCTCAAAATGAGTATATGGAGCGGCCTTCAAGGGACCACTTGTACCTTCCTCTTGAGCCATCCTTCAGAGAATCTTCCCTTAGTCCAAGTCCTGCCAGCAGCATTTCTTCTCGGAGCTGGTTCTCAGATGCCTCTTCTTGTGAATCTATCTCTCATATTTACGATGATGTGGATTCAGAATTGAATGAAGCTGCTGCTCGATTTACACTTGGGTCACCTTTGGCATCTCCTGGAGGTTCTCCAAGGGGTTGCCCAGTGGATGAACCCTGGCAAGCATCATATGGATTTGGGCATACTTTGTCACCTAGACAATCTCCCTGTCATTCTCCAAGGACTAGTATCACAGATGAAAATTGGCTTAGCCCTAGACCAACCTCAAGACCATCATCAAGGCCTACATCACCATGTGGAAAACGTCGGCATTCTAGTGCTGAGATCTGCTACATTGGTTCCCTTTCCCCTCACCATTCTCCAACCCCATCACCAGGACATTCTCCCAGGGGAAGTATAACAGAAGACACATGGCTAAATTCTTCTCTCCATGGTCTGACACCTGGCCTGTCACCTTTTCAGTGTTGTGCAGACACTGACATCCCTCTGAAAACCAGAAAAACCTCTGAGGATCAAACTGCCATTATATCAGGAAAAATAGAGCTTTGTTCTGAAGAACAGGGTAATTTAGCACCGTCCCTTGAAACTGCTGTAGACGATAACTCTGGATCTCAGCATACATTAAAAAAAGACTTGCCAGGTGACCAATTTCTTTCTGTTCCTTCACACTTTACCTGGAACAAACCAAAGCCTGGCCATACTCCTATATTTCGGTAAGTAGTTTTATGAGGATGAAATTAAGTACTGTATATGTGTTTAATTTTTTAAATTTTTTTTTTATCTTGGGAGGTGGGATAGTTGTTGTGTTGATATGCACATGTGATAAGTGAATGATACACTAATAAAAATACTGCTTTGATTTAGACCAATGGTTTCCAATCTTGGGTGCCCCAGTGTTCTTGGACTAAAACTACCGGAAGCCTTTACCACTAGCTTTCTTGGCCAGGATTTCTGGGAGTTCCTGGCCAAGAAACAAATTTGTTTCAGAAACAGATCTCTTAGGAATACAAGCCATCTGAAGCTGGCTAAACTTTAAAACATTGTGTGGAAATGCTGGGTGGGGGAACATGTGCTTCTCTAAATGTTGTTGATTTACAACTCCTGTCAGCTTTCACCATTAGCCATGTTATCTGATCTGGTCTAATGCTATCTGGAGATCTACTGATTCCCAGTTGTTATATATCACTAGAATATTATTGCATGCCCCTCAAATTGATGTTGACTTATGCTGACCTTTCTTCAGATTTTCTAGCTATAAAGTACAGTATTCAGAAGTGGTTTATCAATCCTTTCTTTGAATAATTTGGGTTCATGTTTGGAGGTGATTTAGTCTTGACACAGGCAACATTTGACAATGGTAAAATTGTCACTTAGTGTCTGGTGAATAAATACCAGTCTCATCACCTTCCTGTTCTTCTCAGCATTGTTATGAATGCGGAAACTTCAGGTGGTGCAGAATGCGGCGGCCAGACTCCTTACTAGAGGGAGAAAATACCAACATATCTCTCCTACTCTGGCCATGCTGCACTGGCTGCCCATCCGTTTCCGCATTGCCTTCAAAGTGTTAATGCTTACATATAAGGCCCTAAACGGTTTAGGACCTCGATACTTGGCGGAACGCCTGCTCCCAACTAGATGTACCCGGCTCACCCGCATGAGCCAGGAGGTGAGGCTGAGGAGCCTAACGCTGAGGGAGGCCTGGAAGGAAAGGACACAAAACCGGGCCTTCTCGGCGATGGCTCCTCTGGAATAACCTTCCTCCAGTTATTCGTGCAGCCCCTACGCTGGGTACTTTTAAGAGTCAACTAAAAACATGGTTGTATGTTCAGGCCTTCCCTCCTGTCAATATTTAATTCTTTCTTTATTTTTTCTTTCATTTATTATTTGTTTTATTATTGTATGTGTTATGGACTGTTTGTAAAATGCTTATGTGTTATCATATACACCTTATTGGAAGCCGCCCAGAGTGGTCGACCAGACCAGATGGGCGGGATATAAATCAAACAAACAAACAAACAAACAAATATATCAGATCAAAAGCATTTTTAATAAACCACATTTCATTGTTCATTGAACTTTGTACAGCTGAAGTTGTCTTAACTTTTCACTATAACTGCAAACAGTTCTACCAAGTTTGGCCAGTGCAGATACTCAAGAATTTGATTTGGTTCATTTAAAATTTTTTAGTTCCTTCATAAATGTGATGGAAAGAACTGAAGATCTAAGGAGGTCTATTATGATGGAAAGTGAAATTAGTCCATCCCATTAAAATTTACCTGAATGCAAAGTAGTATAAAATGAGATACCTCTAAGCTTTCTGGCTGTCTAGTAAGCATAGATGACTGACCCAGTGCAAATATAAAGTTGGCAAGGTGCTAGAATTATTTTAAGGATCATAAAGAGCATACAGTATATCTGAATTTGCAGGTTCAGTACTAATGTGTCACATCAATGACTTAATTAATTTACTGCTGCAGATCTTCACTTCTGTGACTGGTCAGTTATGATTTCATGGTGCTACATACTTGCCTTTGTATTGTGTTTTTAAAAAATGTGAAGGTAATCCAGATTTCTTCCATTTTAGGAATTTTATAATATGCAGTCAAGATTATGCCACTGGCAAAATAATAATAATAAAACATCCCTGTTTCTTTCATATCCAAATAATTTCAATTGTCAATGCAATTGTAATTTTAAAATTATTTTGTATTCGTAACTGATAATTTGATTAAATGATTCAGTTAACCAGTTAATTAGTTATGATTTGTTCCAGATGTGTATAACTTCAACAAATTTGGGTATTCTCTCTAGTTGTGAAAATATTTGGTCTTCATTGATTGGACCAGACTTTCTAAACCCAATGAATTATTGTTCTTCTACATAAGAGCTAGATACGAGATAGGAAAATCAGCCGTTTGAACTTCGATCATATTAAATATGTTTGCTAGCTGCTATTAGGATTCAGTTAGCCAGGCTCTCCCATCCCAAGAAAGTGTATGAAACCTTTTTTAAAACATTGATCTTTCTGAAAACAAAGTTATCTACCTGGTGTGACATTATTAGGTCTAATAAACTAACAGATAATGTTTAGCATACTGCTTGATATTTTGTAATGGACAGTAAATGGTGTACGAAGCTAGTAACCGTAGGACATTGTGTATTGGCTTAATGTTTCTCTAATCCTGCCCCCTTCTTTTATAAGCTCCATTCTTGCTGGGCTGCTGAGCTGACATGCTCTAGTACAGGTGATAACATAATTGCTTCCTTCTCCTGTTTGGCGAAGGGTGAAAGTTTGGAGAATTATTGGAAGTTAACTGTCACAACGTTAAATTATAAAAACTATATTAAATATGTCAAAGCAGGAAAACAGACTAGACTAGAGGCTGTTAAATATTAGGGGGAGGGAAGAAATATTGAAAGAAGACTGAGAGGCTGCATTTTTATAGTCTCTGTACATTTGAGGAATGGAGGGGTATCGGTAATGGCCAGTTTATTTCTGATAGGCATACGCCAGTTGATATTCATGTGGTAGTCTGCCTGTTTAGCAGTGCATGTTGACTTCCCCTGCCATTGTTTTCTCTACCTTCTCTACTTTTATGTAGCTGTTTATGCTTCTGTTTCTGATCAGAGAAGTGGGATCCAGCCTGTAGTAGTATCATGTTTCCCTGAAAATAAGACAGGGTCTTATATTAATTTTTGCTCCAAATTTTTGCTCCAAAAATTAATTAGGGCTTAATACCAGGGGATGTTTATTTATTTTTTAATGTACAACAGACTTCATTTATTCAAATACAGTCATGTCATCATCATCTGGTTGCTGTACAATAGTGGAGGACAGAGTTTCACTTAACAGGCTTATTTTTGGGGTAGAGCTTCTATTATGAGCATCCTGAAAAATCATACTAGGGCTTATTTTCAGGTTAGGTCTTATTTTCAGGGAAACAGGGTAACATGTATTTGCACACTTTTCTTTGAAACTGGTAACAATAGAATATACATGCTGTGGAACTACAGCCCATTTTGTTGGTAAAAATGCTAGAGAAACTGGAATTTTCTATTTAACCCCTCTTCCAGACTTGTGATTGTAATATAGGAACAGGATCGTGTGAGAGAAGGTGGTATTTAAGGTACCCAGGTTCTGAGAGATTTAGGGCTTTAAAGGATTAAAGCAGCAGAAATTTACAGTGTACAACTACAGGAATATGTATTTTCCTTACAATATATTTTAGGTAGAATCTAGGGCATCTTAATGTGTACAATGATATATTGGTAGGTTTGGTCTTACACACTGGAGGTTCTGTAGCGCCTATTCAGAGTCTGCTAACAGAGGCAACAGTGTTCAATTTTGCTGGTTCCAGTGCTTGGGTGTAGAGGTCTGGTTTTTGCCTCCCAGTAAAACTGTCAAGAGCTTTCCTTTTATACACCCTCCCTTCCAAATACAGAGAGTTACTTTGGATATGTCAAGCTAAATCTTCTTTCTCTTGAACTGCATGATGGAAAAAGGGGAGTGCTTTTTGAAATGCCTACCAAGTTTCTCCTTTTATCATTGTAGTTACATTGCTATTTAACATTTGGTTTCCAAGCAGATGTTTGAAATTAGAAAGCTTTTTCAAGATTATCCCTAATTTTGAATTAGCAGTTCAAAGCTGCTTTAATCCCTTTAGGGTTAACATTCAAAGCTATTGAGGGCTCTGCCTGTTCAAAATCTAAGCTGAATACAAATGTCTTATCTGGGCTATTTTAAATGTGTTTGTTAATAACATATATAAATTAGTCAGTGTATGTAAAGTAAACATAATGTTCAAATATATTTGCTGACCTAGGGATAAGTATATACATAAGTTAAGCAGATGCCTTTGAAGTTGTGAAGCATTACAGAAGTAAACTATTCAACTTTTATGTACTACATAATGGGTCCTTTAATATATAGATCAATTGGATAAATCTAAGAAGTTAAAACACTTGAACACAGTGCATGTGTTTACCAATGTTAGTCTAATATCCAGTTGTTCAGCGGTGTCAAATGTTTTAAAGTTTTAAATCAATGTTGGTGCCATTAATTGCTGACATCTGATCCTGAAACTACAACTGCCTTTGTATTAAGTTTTCATGAAATTGGCACTAGTATAAATAAGTTCAGAAGAAAGTCTTTTCTCATTTCATCCTCGTAGCTTTCTGGGAGCTGGTCCCATCCATTTCCCCTGCCCATTGGCCACATTGTCTGAGGCTGATGGGATTTGAAAACACTTCACTGGAATAGACTAGGCAAATATAGTGAAAAAATACTGTTGTGTCTTCTGACTTGCTTTGACTAAAACTCTGTTCAGATTCTGAAAGGAACCAAAGATAACCTGAAATTTGCTTGGTTCTTCAAAATTCCTGGTGAGGGATCTTAAAGTAGTGTAAGCAAAAGTTAGAAAACTTCTGAAACTCCTACTGATTTGTGAATAGGTTTGGGGCAGCTGATAGGGACGCTGTGGGTTAAACTGCAGAAGCCTCTGTGCTGCAAGGTCAGGAGACCAGCTGTCACAAGATCGAATCCACGCGATGGAATGAGTGCCCGTCGCTTGTCCCAGCTCCTGCCAGCATAGCAGTTTGAAAGCATGTAAAAATGTGAGCAGATAAATAAGTACCACCTCAGTGGGAAGGTAATGGTGTTCTGTGACTAGTCATGCTGGCCATGTGACCACAGAAACTGTCTTCGTACAAACGCTGGCTCTATGACTTGGAAATGAGGATGAGCACCACACCCTAGAGTCGGACACAGCTGGACTAAATGTCAAGGGAAACCTTTATCTTGGGGCAGCTGATGCTCTTCAGAGCAGCTGCTCTTCTGTACTGTCAGGCAATTTGACACAGGAAGCTCAGGTTTAAGCAGGTATGATAAAGTTCTTACAATGTTTGGCAACAGTGCTCCTTGGAATAAGAAGCCCAGTTGCTCAAGAATAGCACCCTAGATTGGAAAGAGCTTTGTGGTTGACCACTCCTTTCTCTGGCTGCCTAAGGCTGGAGTGGTGCAGTATGTTCTGGTATTCCTTCAGACAACTTTACTGTAGTATCTGTCCACTGGCAACTGATACATAGCTAGTCAAGCAGTTTACTTCATTACTGATAATTAAAGCTAAGCCTGTCGTAGTAAAGGTTCATCACCATCTGTGTGTAACTTAGTCCTTCTTGTGAAGAAATCAAGGATTTGGTAAATATGTAATTAGTTTCTGGACTTCTCTGTTTCCATAAGTGATTGAGAAGCTGACCTAAAAGGAAAGAGGTCAGCTTGTAAGCAGACCATTTCAACACCCACTCCATTTTATTTCCTTTTCCGGATACTTCAAAGAAGAACACCTTACCATATGTTCCTGATGCTCTTCAAAGCACTGATAAAAAATCTGTAAGCTTATCATTTGTGTATCAAAGCAGCCTCAATAGGGGATCTAACCTGGCCAGGGAAGTAGCCTTCTTCCTTCCCTGAGGATAAAGGATAGAGTGGTCCTAATCCGACCAGATAGGCAGATATACAATCAATCAATCAGTCAATCAATAAGTAAATAAATGCAGATTTTGGAGTTGGGAAAAGGAGCTAAGCAGAGAATGCCTTTTGTTTATAGAATGATCAAAGGGGTTTATGGGCACCAGGTCTGAAAAAGAGTTTATTTACTTGCATAAAAGGGACTTGAGCAAACTTGTTTCTTGTCTCTTGTCTCAGTCTTTCTGGGAGAGAGAGATTGTGTCCATGTGCCACTGGGCCTAACCCCTGACCTTGGAACTGTGACATTTCTATTAAGAAAAACAAAGCTCTGTTTTTAGTTGCTGCATTAGTTTTCATTCATTTAGTGTGTCTTGGTTATTTTGGGGCCAAAAATGATTTTTTAAAATCTTGTGAATCAATAAGATAGGGTAGGCTAGTAATCTAGAACACTCAAGGAAGTAGCTTGGCTAGATAGTATTTATTGTTGTTGCTGTTTGTTTGTTTTTGCATCAGTGCAATGAGTTTAATGTATTGGTTTCCCCAGTAGTACTTCACCATAGGTTTCATTTCTCTTTAGTGTTGGAAGTAAGAAATAGTAATAAACACTAAAGACCTCAAAGAGAATAATAGAATAGAGTTGGAAAGGTTCTATAAAGCCATTGAGTGCAGCCTCCTGCTCAGTTCAAGGATCCAGGTCAAAGTATATCTGACTGCCTGTCTGATTTTCTCTTGAATGTCTCCAGTGTTGGAGCGCTCATTGCCTCCCAAGATAATTGATTCTATTGCTGTACTGCTCTAACAATTAGGAAGTCTTTCTTGACATTCAGCCAAAATCTTGCTGCCTGGAATTTGAGCCTGTTATTACTGTATTTTTCCATGTATAAGATGATACTTTTGTTTAAAATCTTTATATTAAAAATTGAGGGTCATCTTATACATGGAAGTAAGGAGGGGGGAGGGATCAAAGCGCTTTGATGATCCCTGACGTCCCCCTCCACTTTCTTGCAAAGAAAGAAAAAGAAAACTGGGTTAGAAAATTGGAGGGGCGTCTTATACATGGGGGCATCTTATACACGGAAAAATACGGTATGTGTTTTGTACTCTATAATGATTGAAAACAAACCTTCCCCTCCTCTGTGTGTTTCAAGTACAGTAGGACCCCTGTATCTGCTGATTCACCTATCCAGAGTCTGAAAATATTAAAAATATTAAATGAAAATAACTACAGTATTAGCATGGGCTTTCAAGGTGTAATGATCAGACTGGCCACTAGAGGGAACCAAACACTATGTTATATATGAAAGCTTCCACCATTTCATTTAGTCCAGGGAGCTTGTTTCCAGAACAGCATCATAAAACAAAGAGCTGGATTGGCTGGCAAGGCAGGAAGAGGGGCACTAACATAAGCCAAACTACCTCCTGGGAGAGGTTCCCACCTCCCACCTTTCCTTTCTTCTGGCCAGCCTCTTCCTCAACACTCCTGGGCAAAAAAGGAAATGAATTCTTAATTGTCTTCAAAGAAAAAAAAAGTCATAATACTGAGATTATGTGTTTGTGAGTGTGTGTGAGAGAGACAGGGACAAAGATGGTAGGCTTTAGCACATGAACGAGAGAAGATTTCAACTCAGCTCTTACTCTTATCCCCATTGGGATAAAAATTACAGATACAGGGGAATCTTGGGTCCAACAGATTGTTATCTATAATCCACACTTTTCACTATCTGTGGGCCCCCCCCCTGGAACCACTGCCCCGTGGATATGGGGGTCATCCTATATTTGAAGAGTGCTATCATATCTCCCCTCAGTCGTCTTTTCTCAGTGCTAAATATTTCCAGTTCTTTCAGTCTTTCCTCAGAGGGCTTGGATTTTAGTCTCTGGATCGTCTTCTGAACTTGTTCCAATTTAATATATTCTCGAATGTATTCACAGGATTTTCAGGCTACCTCTTTAGAACAGTGTGTATATATTCTCGAAAGTTCTCACAGGTTTTTCAGGCTACCTCTTTAGAACAGTGTGTGAGGTTGCCTGCAAAGATATAATTGAAAGACAATGTGCCATTGATGTTCAGATTACTATGGAATCTGTAACTAGCTATCACTCCACTAGGGTATATAAAGACTTTTTTCTACCTTTTGGAAGAGTGCTCCTGTATTTGTTCAGTATTAGCTCACTTGAGCTGAGACAGCTTATGACCAAATGCAGACTAAACTTCCTGTAGTTGAAAAGAGGTTCTGGGGTGATATACAGTATATAGATCAAAATGGTATAAGTAGATATTGCTCAGCAGGATTCTGAGATGGAGGAGGATACACTTCCAAAGAGAAGGATTTCTGTATTCTTATTTTGAGGGAATCATACCTGAAGCCCTTAAAAATCATTAATAGGAAAAATTCTCCTCTTTGTACAGTTTAATATTTGCTAGGTGGCACAGACTGGTATATATCCTATAGGACCACTGAGTTATTTAAATTATTTCCTTACCTGATTCACATATTTACTTTATTTAGATTTATACCCCGCCCCTCTAGACAAAGTCTATCTTTCTATATAAACCTTACTATCTAATCCAGGGGTGTCCAACCTTTCACCTTCCCTGGGCCACATTAGAACATGAAAATTTGGTTTGGGCCACACATACATTTGGTTTGGGCCACATGGGGGGGCAGCCCTAGCTGTCCTCCGCAGCCCAGCTCCAAGCGTGCTTACCGGCAGCAGCGATCTCAGACAGCAGAGGCTGCCAGCTTCGACTCCGGCGGCTTTATGGGGCCGGGAGGGGGTCCACCTATTGATGGGGATGACGCAATGTAGTCAAGCAGCCCCCTTGTCCCCTCCCCTCCCACTCCTTCCTTCCTTCCCTCTCTCCCCCTCTACCGTTGTGACGTGCCCCGGCCACATTCCGGTCGCAAGCGCTGGCAGTGTAACTTGAAACTTTGGAATTTCTTTAAAAATAAAAAATTGCCCTGGGCAGCATTACAAGCCGACCTGGGTCGCATGCGGCCCTCGGGCCGCTGGTTGGACAAGCCTGATCTAATCCTTGACTGAGAATGATTATTTTATTATTTTATTCCCTTGCTAATTGTTCAGACTTACTTAAATGTTAGATGTTAACCATAAGCCTTTAAGAGTGATTTAAATTTTTTATGCATAAAGCCAGACATTAATAACAATAATAAAAGTACAGTATAGTTTTCATCCTTTTCTATTATTTTGTATTTTACATTGTATTACCATATTTGTATTGCTTTCTTCTTGAGAGTTAAAATGCTGGATGTAAACTTGTTAGATGGAAAAATACTGAACTCTGCATGCTTCTTGTTTTTAGCACATCTTCGTTGCCTCCCCTAGACTGGCCTTTGCCTACGCAGTATGGGCAGTGTGAATTGAAAATAGAAGTGCAACCCAAAACACACCATAGAGCACATTATGAAACGGAAGGCAGTAGAGGAGCAGTAAAGGCATCAACTGGTGGGCATCCTGTTGTGAAGGTAAGAGATGCTGATACGTCTATACTTTTGAACTGTCGTTCAAGATTTGAGCGGCAGGAATTATCTAATGAAATGAATTTTCACCACATTTGCATAAATCAGAGGCTAGAATTTTAGGAATCCGTGGCTTGTTTTTCAGGAATGAGTGTGCTAATGCCCGCTGACACATTGCTCCTGGCTAGCTTTTTTCATTGGCAAGATTTGCTTCAGTAAAAAGCAGCTTGTCAGGTGGAAACAACTTGGCAGTGTGTTGGAATCAGTACATCTGCTTTTGTTGCTTTTCTAACATGCCAACGTCTGAAGTTGGCTTCCAATTTGTGGCTCATTTGGGAGCAGCAAGTCAGTTGCCAAGTTCAGACCAGGGAGCTCATGGCTACTGGCTGGCATTGTTACAGAAGGCGACTCAATTTTTAGTTTGCCTTTTAGGCAGAATAGATGTGATTGACATGCAATTGATTTACTAGACAATTTAAATTATTAGTCAGCAAGACTTTATTTCCGTCACGGTTTTCTACATTAAGGCTTATTCTTGCTGGTTGTTATAAAGTTAATATTTACAACCCAGATGAAGGTTTCATTTTTAGAATAATAACTTTTCAGGTTAGTTTTACAATTATGTCACAAAATAAATGATTGTTTGGTTATTTACTAAATGAAATAGATAATTATGATATAATTCTGAAATGAGCTTTCTCCATTTTAATAGCTTAATCATATTTGAACAGCTTGTCTGCTGTGCTTTATTAGAAGGAGAATAATAATCAACAATAATAATTTACATTGTTTTATCTAACTAAAACAATAACATTGTATATGTCTTCTTGTGCTTGTTTAAACAATCATGTTTATTAAATATTCCCACACTGGGTCTCTTTTATGGCCTGCTGCCATTATAGATTTTCTCTTCAACTTAGAGAATAATATGATAAATCATAGGCTGTGCTCACAAAGACCTCTGGAGTATTACATTCAAAAAGTTTCATTTTATTTTGCTGTGCTTGCCTCTTTTCTCGCACTTATATATAAGGAAGGCATGTTTAGATCTATCTATCCATCTCCCCAAAAATCTTCTACTTATTGAACTCCCTGGAATAAACTTGCAGAAACCTCCGGAAAACCAGTGTTGGGGCCATGTATTGGTAGAATTCAATTACAAAACTTTTTTTAAACTTTGCATGAATTTACAGCCAAAACAAGATGTCCCCTACTTTCAGTGAGCTCAATGTTGTGGCAGTGCTTATGTTCTAAGAGATTTGCTGTTGCGTGATAATATTTGCTTCAGTGGCAAACATACGTTAACTTGTTGAAACTGAATTGCTGTCTCTTCTGTTTCAGTAGTACAGTTGTGTATCTGGGCTGTTCTTTCAGTTCTGCCTCTGTAAACTAATTCTTAATGTTATTTGCCAAAAGTATAGTTTATGTGTGTTAGGGATTATTGAACTGACTTTACATAAGCTGATGGTTCATAAGGATTTTCATGTTATGAATGTGATATGAGTATCACAGAAACTTAACCATTTCATACAAAACTTTCTACTGAGTAACATTTAAGCATTAATGGCTTGTTTACCACTTTATTGCATAGACTCATGTGAGAAGTTGTGAATAGTCATGGAAGAGCGTACCACAACTTCTTCAGTTAAAGTGGATCTCTTTCTGTTGAGTTTGCCAGCTTTTTTTTGTCATAGTTAGTATTCATTCTTGTGCTTTTCAAATTCATCCTAATTTTTCCCCAGTGCAGCTGCCAAGCTTCCATTAGCTTTCAAATGAAGGAAAAAATACCACATACAGTTCTTAACACAACTCAATCTACTTCTATTGTCACCCTTAGTATTTTTTTTTGTTTCTCACAACTCCATTCCTCTTAGTGCATATAGCTAAGCAACTGATCGTTCTAAAATTGTGTGCATCTGCTATAAGCAAAGAAAAGGAGGAAGTGAAGAGCATTATGAATGAAAAGATGCTGGGTAGTTGTTTCATTAAAATAAATAATATTTTAAAAGGTGCATGTAGGTCATTGTGCCATGAGGTGAAGCTTATACATGGCTTATACATGCCCTGCCAGTATATTTCAGGTCGGTTAGTTCAAGTCTTAGGTGAAGTTCATTATCTATACCAGTCAAGTTTTCAGAAATGTGTCCATGCTTTAAATGTTATCAATTTATTTTACTTTATTTATATCTGGATAGTTTACAGGTTAAAACATAAGCCCCTCAAAACCCCACATTACAAAATACATTCAACACTATGGTGATCTGGCAGCGTAGGACTAAAATTCATACCAAAAAGTTTAAAATTAATAGCCTCTGAGAGAATCAGTTGTTGAAGGCAGCTTTGAATGATTCTGTTTTTACCAATTTTTTGAACATAAGGAGGAAAGGACCCTGGTATGTTTCCAAAGCTAGGGGCCTCCACTGAAAAGGCCTGATTCCTTGTTGTTTGTTGTCATTTTTGGCCTCTCTTGGTGTGGCTACTTTAAGCATCATGGACTGTGAGGAGTGTACTGTAGTTAATTTCTGAATGAGATGTTCTGACAAGTATCGAGGTCCTAAACCATTAACGGCTTTATGGATCATAACCAGCACATGGAATTGGGCATGGAAACTAACAGGGAGCTAATGAAGGCGTGCTGAGGCTGAGGATATATTATTGAATTTACAAGTCCCGGAAATCAGACTGACTGCCACATTTTGGACCTGCTGAAGTGGCTGTACTGTTTTCAAGGTCAGCCCTCCATAAAGAGCATTACAGCAGCCTCTTTTTTAGATTATGAATGCATGGACCACTGTTACTAGGCATCCCTTATCCAGGTAGGGTGCATCTGGGCAGTCAGCTGGTGTTGATAAAAGACACCAGGCGGAGGAAGAAAAAGAGAGCAGATACATGAACAACATTGTGCCATGAACAGGAATTCTTGTACAGTATATTTTGACCATGGTACTTTTAGTTCAAAAACAGTGTTTTTAACAGAGCTAATTGGGTGATGCCATTTTCTGTTTACAAGCTGCAATTCTGTAAATAGACAATTAATTGCTTGCTTGCTCAATTCCTCTTTGGGATCTGTATAAGTAGGTGACTGTAAATCTAGAGTTTTAGAAACTGAACGGGAAGATTTCTAGCATTGCTTAAAAGAAATTACTTATTTTTAAAATTTCAGTTAGTACTACAACCTGTATGGTTCATAGTTAGAACTTAGAGTGAATAATCGGTGTGTGCTTAACTGTAAATAAATGTGTGTGGTGGATCAAGATTTGTTTGAGAGATTTGGTGATATTAAAAATGCATAAGTACTCCCTTTTATGTATTCAGTTGTTACAGATCTGATACATTACATGTATAACCAAAGTGATCCTCTTGTAACATGCTAGTATACTTAGAGGGTTTTTAGAGTGAAGCTATTGTAGCTTATCCTGTGGTGACCTTCTCTCTTTAGCCTTCCAGCTTTAGTTTAACTTACGCATTCAATGACCTTTGCTATGGAAACGATACAGAAACACAAACAGCTTGGCAGAGTTTCCTCCATAAAGCAATGGGTTGTGTGCCACAGTATACAGTTACTGGAGGAGGGTTTTTAGAGGTCAGTAGTGACAGTGTGCCGTCACTTTTTCATTATTTACAACTTTCTGTACAGAAAGTATGGATGCAGACTATGTTGTAAAGACATGACTAATCATATTGAAGGCTAACATTAAAAAGTATCTTCTGGTATAGCTCAGATGTTGCATTCCAGGTTTTGGTATATAATGTGCCACTAATCGATTACAGTACTTCGGTTAAACTGGCTTGTGTAGAAAACAGGTTTAGTTTCCCCCCTCCAAACTGCCTCTGTTTGAAGAAGAAATGGTTTTGGATGCTTTGGGGAGGAAAAAACTTGAGACATTGTTAAGGTTTTTTTTTTTTTTAATCAGCTATAAAGCTTAGTTAACTATGGCTTCACATTATATATGAACTGGCTCTTTGCTATCTTGTTTGTGCTGTACACTTTAATATTAAAGTTGTTTTTAACCCATATACTATTTTTGGTTTGGGAAGATTTTTGATCCTCTTGTGGATCTGGAGCTATAACTGCCCTCGTGTCTTGATAGGAGATGACAGGGATTCCCTTTCCTCTCTCAGCTGGCACTCTGGGAGCGAGTGCACTTGGAACTCACCTCGCTTATGAAAGTTCCAGCCAACACGTTTTACTTTTCTCCTTTCCCCACTCAGAGAGTTAACTGTTCAGTACTGTTTTCATTTATACAATTTGGAATTTTTTGACTGATATGTTTAAAAATGCATGAGTGAAGAACATGGTCTGTGTAACTTCGCAGGAATCAGCACTGGAGTTCATTACAGAGTCAGGTGCTATCTCTGTATAATTGTGCCCCTGTACCTTAACCATTAACCCACTAATACAGTTTCTTTTTTTCTTTTTTTGCATTAAATTGGTTATATAGTACTGTATGTAAATAATTTTTAAATTTAAATAATAATACCTCAGGAGGTTAGTTATCTGGCTGCAGATCCAGCGATTGAGAGTTCAATTCTCCAGCCTCCCTGACAGGGGCTAGACTTTATGATCCATGGAGTCCCTTCCAGGTCTGCTGTTAGAAAATGATGATGATTTGATTTTTTTATTTCAACCTAGTGTCAATATTAATGAAGCAATACTTTTATGAGTTAAGTGAACTGGAATCATATTTGTGTTATCCTGAGACAGCATTCAACTTTTCCTAGATGGCATAACTGTTTTTAAAAAGAAATTAGAGATATAAAAGTGTACATTACAATGAATTGCATAAGCAGATTGCATAATACAGTACTTAATTTAGGATTAGTACACCTGATACAGCATATTGCTGCTTCCTTAAAATATGGTTTATAACATCATGCCATCAGCAGCTGGTCGAGTATGCTTCGCAAAATAATACTCATCTGTAGTTGTGATAAAAGCTGCCTTTGCTCTATTGAGGAATATTTTCCAGGATGTCTTTTCTGCTTTATGATAGTTCCATATTCAGACCTTTCTCATAGTAGATTCCAAGTAGACTTTAACTTAGTAAAAGTTTGCCTCTTTGCTTAGTCTCAGTCAGTGTTTGAATATGTTTTTCCGAAGGAAAGCCAAGTATAGCTCTCTTCTTAAGTGGTGTGGTATACAATATTCCTGGAACAGAGTAATTGTATCCTACCACCCTCCAAAGAACTGTAAAAATAGGTCATCTTTTAAGATTACAGTGGTGCCTCACTAGACGATTGCCTCGTGGGACGAAGAACCCGCAAGACGATTGGTTTTACGATCACTGTGGTGTCTTGCAAGACGTTTTTTTTTCTGTGACCGTGCTTCGTAAGACTTTTTTTTTTAAGACCGATGCTTTGCAAGACTTGTTTTTTTTTGTTTGTTTTTTTTTTGAGACCGATGCATGGGGAACCTCACAAGACGATTTTTTCACAAGATTACAGTTTTTGCAGAACAAATTAACATCGTCTTGTGAGGCACCACTGTACATAGATACAGTAACAGTTTTCTGAGTCAGGAAACCCCAGATAGAAATCAGTCCTTGGCCATGAAGTCTTTAAAATAATGGTAATATGCTGTCAAGTCACTACATTATTAGAATATTGTCATGAAAAGCATCTTATTCATTCTGAAAGGGAAAATATGCCATTTTTCTAGGTTGCCCAAGGTTTGGTTGCCCCCCAAAATAAAATTTATTCTAAGAAAAAGCTGTGGTCCTTTGCCTATTTTTTCTGGCTATTTTCCAAGCTATCACATCTGTATCAGCCTCAGTACATTTGCTGCAGCTGGCTAGAAAGCTCAACAAGTTAGGTACTGTATTTGGCTGAGGACCCAGAGATTGGGAGATTGGGACCTGGCTCTTCAGGAAGGCTTTCCCTCTTGCCACTGCTTAATTTTTCCTCTGGTTTTTGATTTGTTTTAGTCTTTTTATTGATGATTTTATTGCCTTTTTTGGACTGTAAACTGCCCAGAGTAGATTCATAGATGGGCGATATAAAAATGGGAAGTGCTGTTCTAGAGAGATTCTGAGTACAGTACTGTATATCATAAAAAGATTCAGTAGGAAGGAACCTTTATGATACAAGTATCAAACTGCTGTAACTGTATAGAGTGGATACACTTTAATTTCTTTTGCAGCATGCAGCCAATTCCTTTCTGTCTCTATATCCATGCAAATTAGGCTGGGCAACTTAATGACTTGCAGGAGTTTTGAGATAAATGCCTCTTGGTCAAAGGTGGTGAAATCATAATGAAAGACGTCAGTAGGGCAACAGATTAGCTACTGCTAGTTTAAATATTGATGACCTGGCAGTGATGGGAGCCCAAGTTAATCTTATTTCAGCTATTCATATCTATGACTATATTAGCTATATTGTAAAGAAAGATACTTATCAGCTGAAATCCTTTTGTGCAGCTTTCCACTGCATAAGACTGATGTCATCAGCCAATTAAAAACTTCAAATTCCCATGAGAGTTTGGACTTCCCTTGCAGTCTCTTTCCTCATGGTGAATCCACTGGGAGCTGTAGGATAAGGGAAGTTTTAATTTCAGAAAATTGTAGCCATCTTTCTAGACAGGTTGCTTTCTGTTGCACACACATCATCAGCAGGCAAGGAAGAGAAGTGACTGCTACTCCTATCAAGGGCAAGGAAAAAGGCGGGGTAAAATATTTTAAATAAGTACAGTAGTAGTAGAAAGTGTTTATTTATCAACTATAAGTCATTAAAATATGTTAAAATAAAATAATAAGCAGCAGGTGAGATAGTTAATTAAAAAGAAAATACAATAAGGCATAAGCAGGAATCAAAAAGACAAATGTACAGGGAACAAGCGAGCTCGAATGTTGATTCCAGCCAAGGCAAAGTTTGCCACGTTTAAGGTGGTATTGGCGTTAATGTCAGCCAGGAGCCCACAGACCTGGGCGAGATTAGGTCTGTCTTGGATGGAAGTCAGAGAACTTGCCAAAAACCTTGATCTAGGGGAGTGGTAATATGGACATCTCAAAAGGTAGTGAGTGATGTCTTCGACTTCTCCAAGATGGCAAGGACAAATCCTTAGGTGATAGGGCAGATTCTCGTGTCTGCCCTCTAACACTCTGGAAGGCATACATTGAAAACGTAGAGCGGTAAAGGCCTTGCGAAGGGCAAATGTAGTTATCCAGGTCAAATAGTTTTCCATGACAAAAGTTGACTTATAGAGTGGGAGTGAAAAGGAATAGGGCGAGCTAGAGATGATGCAAAGGTCACTTCTGATAAGAAAAAGGCGAATTGTATCCTTGAGACTAGCTTTCACACATTTGGGCGGAAGAGCGGTTAGAGAATCTAAGTCGATGCCCTACAGTACAGTAATGATAAATAAAAAGTGGACATCTAGTTTCCACTTGTATTTATTTGTGATACACCTTGTATTTTGTTGCAATAACTGTGTTAACTGCTGAGTGGTGTCTATGCACAAAGTGCTGGCTATAAACCATGGTCTTTGGGATTATCTGAAAAATACCATGCACATCCATACTGATCTCCATGGACCATGAGATCTTGAAAGGAAGCCCGTCTCTTGATCCTACACTGTCTTCAAAGTTCTGCTTTGTGGTCTCTGTGAATGCACACAGTTGGGTTGTACTGCGCCTGCGCAGGACCTCTTGGAAACTTCTAGAGCTTAAAGATGCGTAATTATTGGGGCGTTCCCTCATGGAGCCCACGCTCCACCCGCTAAAGACCTTCTCAGTTCCTTTTAGCCGCCACTCAGGCCAGACCTGTTGACGAGCCAGTGCTGTACTTTTGATTTTGAAAATCATCTTCTATTGTGCCTTACAGCCAATTCTTCTTTTGATGTTTCCTTGTGAGTTTATCATTCTTTTATACTGTCCTGAGTCTTTGTCTCTTTCCAACTCCTTTCCCTCCCCCCTGCTTCCTGCTTCTTTTATCTCCCCCCCCTCGCCCTTTAAGCGGTGTGTGCTTTGCAAAAAACAAAATCCTACTCTCCGAGTTGTTTTAAAATGGCTAATTTCCATTTAGATACTTGTGAATATGTGAGATCTTACTGGAATAGGTTCTCTCTCTCTCTCTGTCTCTGTGTGTGTGTGTGTGTTCAAATCCATAGTTAAAGTGTTAAAAGTTCAAGTAAAGTGTTAAAGTTTTTAGCAGGTAAAATTTTCCTTCTATTGGAACAAATCTTAAACTTCAACTGCCTGCTGAATGTGGCCCTTTGATAACCTTTTGGTCATGAAAGTCAACCTGTTTCCCTAACTTCAGAATCTAATTTATGTAATAATAATTTTAAAAGGCCTTCTCCAAATACTAGTTAAAGAAAACTAGCATATGAGAATTGTATCTCTTTCTCTTTATCAGCTCCTGGGTTACAATGAAAAACCTGTAAACCTACAAATGTTCATTGGAACAGCAGATGATCGTTACTTACGGCCACACGCCTTTTACCAGGTGCACAGAATCACAGGGAAGACAGTTGCTACTGCTAGTCAAGAAATTATTATAGCTAGCACAAAGGTTCTGGAAATACCACTTCTTCCTGAAAACAACATGTCAGCCAGGTATGTTAACTGATTTTTTCAATGCAACCTTATACACTGATCTTAACAGTCTTATGGATGAGATATTAGAATATTTGAATATTAGATATTGATATTAATATTAGATATTATAGATAACAAATAAAGAATCTAGTTTGATTTTGCATTTGATATGATTTAACTCATTTATGAAGACAGCATGTTTATTGTCTGTAACTATGTAATATTTACATAGATTGCCTTGAGCAATCAGAGGGAGATTTAATGATCTATTATGATTTAAAAATTCATGTTAATAAATCCAATTTGTCTTTGGTCAGCACAGCTTCCCATGTATATTATGATTTATACACTTTACAAGGAGAGATGAGACATTATTTTTTAAAAATATATTTCCTTTGATAATTTCTCACTGCTCTTAATTTCTGTGGAAGTTTTCCCATCAAAGCTACATTCTGTGATCTGGTTTGGCACTGGTCAATATGGATTCTGTCCCCCTTCATCCATAATAATGTCTCTGAAATCCTGAGAGAATAAACTTAAATCAAGGTTCATTTACTTTTGTTGTTGTCTTGTTATTCTTTCCATCTATAAATTAGCAACAACTGTGTTATTAACTAGTATTGTGAATTGACGTTTACCACATAGCTCTTAAGCTACATGGAGGCGGAGGGAGCTATGAAGATTATTTCATTCATTCATTCAATTTCTGTACTGCCCATCTTACTGATTTCACATTTGGCGCCACATTCAGTAGTTTATTTCAATTGTATATAATCCATCACTATCACAGTAAATCCAGTTTGAAGATGGAAAGATTTCAGGGGTACCTGATCAGGCATAAACATCAAACTGTTAAAAGGCAACATCACAAGACTCATCACAAGGCTGAACGCTGATCAGATTCAGTGGTATCAACTACTGTATTTTGTCATTGTTTGAGGTTTTATATTGAGAATCTGACACCTGTTAAATCATTTTGCTGCAAAATCTGGCAGTAAGTGTACACTATGAAGGCCATTCAGTTATTTAGCAATAAGGAGAGGTTGTCATTGGTTTCTCCAGTGTTTAATAATAAGCTATCCTTATTAGTTAGGATGTTGATAGCAAGCATTGGCACATCAACACAGCCAAGTGAGTCATCTGTGATTGGGACTAACCAGTGGATTTAGCTCTAAGATTGTACACGAAATCTATTCATTCAAAGGGAAAGTTGATTCTCCAAAGTGTTGAATGGCAGGCCAGGAATGTGCTGTGTGGTTTCATAAACTTGCTCCTTCCCCTTGTATACCCATATTCCCCACTTCCTTTCTTTGCATAACGTATGCCTTGCCCAATTTAAATGCAACAGTGAATAGTTGCTTGCTTAAGCAAAGGAGAACCACATGAAAAGCAGAGGTAGCTTGTAGATGTCTAAGCTTGTGGTACATGGAGACCTGGGTTGTTGCATCAGAAAGGACCCAATGAATTTATTTATTCAAATGGTAATAATTCTTGGTTTAGATATAAAAATATTGAATGTTAAATTAACATGTAATGTAGTCTGGTATGTGCAGTTTTCATGAAAATGAAAAGGGCATTGTTGGATCCATGTTTTACTATTTTATAATGCATGCAAAGAGTAAAAGATCATTTACCTTTTGAGAGCCAGAGGTGTGTTTGCATCTAAGAGAGTCCTCTTAATGGTATGTTAAAAAGCAAACAAAGAAGGTGCTTTGCTTCTCCTTTTGCTGTGGGTAGTGGGATACAGAATCAAGGCTAAAATCTTGCACAAGCAAATTGAAAGCAAAGTGCATGAGGTGTTGCTTTCATGCTTGACAGATTTCAAACAGCATGTGCTCTTGAATTATTGAGCAACACATAGCTTGCAATATTTTCATTCATCCTCTGGTCTTCTACAGTATTGATTGTGCAGGTATTTTGAAGCTCCGCAATTCAGACATAGAACTTCGTAAAGGGGAGACAGATATTGGAAGAAAAAACACAAGGGTGCGGCTGGTATTTCGAGTACACATCCCCCAACCTAGTGGGAAAGTCTTGTCCCTCCAAGTTGCTTCAATCCCTGTTGAATGCTGTAAGTTCTTTCTCGTTCTGTTGTTTTTTTGTTGTTGTTTTTTGTTCTCTGGTTAAAATTCATTTACTATTAACTGGTACACCTATATGGTAAAGCCTGATATTCATTAAGAAATCATCTGAGCTTATAAATAAATGGCTAAGTAGAGATGTTTCGTGACAATCCTTTTTCTTGATTACAGTACCTTAATACTGTATGCCACTGCTCTTAGTTTGTTCCCTTTGTGGTGATAATGGCCAATATCCTGCCGCTGAGTATAGTACATTGCACTAGAGAAGCACCCATTAAATCAGTGGGAGTTTGGGGAGTCAGCTCCTCTATAATTTGAATTGATTCAAATGAGTCTCCTCTAAATGTGACTTACTGTACTATGCTAAAGTAAATTGCAGTTAGAGTAGACCCATTTGAAAGTTCGGAACTTATGGAAGAGGTGATTCACCAAATCCCCATTGATCCAATGGTGTTTCTCAAGTGCGATTTACTGTGTTCAGGAGCAGGATTTTTGGCCACTACTGGATTGAACTGGTAGACTAACCCAGATTTGGGTTAGTCTACTACTAGTTATATTTTGGATATGTAACTCATTTTCTTCATGATGCGTTTGGTATTATATTGAATTGCTTTGTTGGCTGAAAACCTTGCTATGTATATGTGTCAGTGTAACTCCATCAGTGTACATTACATCAACAAATTGCCATATGTTAAAAGGCTACTCTAGGCATTTGCTATCACACATGGAGTTAAGCAGCTGGTGTGTGATATGCTGATTTATAAAAGATACACTTACTTATAAACTTGCTCTAATTTATGAATGAAATATATACCAGTGGAGTTAGTTGGTGGGCATAACTAATAGGATTCTAGCCACTGGACCTGTATGGACTGTTATTTTGATATTTTGTATGTGTGCTTGTCAGCTGCTTTGGACTGGGAGGAAAAGGTTGAGTGTAAATATTGAATGACATTTTTCACATACACCAAATTCATGGTATAGAATATCTATACTATTACAGCTTGAATACAAAATGTGAGCAAATAAATATTTGTAAGTATCAGATGTATATTTCTTGCATAAAGAAGAGTTTTTTTAAAAATGTACATTTCTTGCTAAAACCATGTTCTGTGGATTTAATAAGGGAGTCATATCCAATTTAATTTTGAAGATTGCATCTTTACCAAAATTGGTTCTAGTGTAGTACGTACTTGATTTTCCTAGAAGGCACAGTGTGATTTGAAAATAGCTTAGACAACAATCATTTAGGAACATGAAGAGTTACAACAAGGGCCACTGGTAATATGCGTTATGGGCTAAATTGTTGAAATTAAGCCTCAAAATATCATCTACAATGCAGATAATAATCAATGTGAGATACTGCTAATGCCGCTACTATTGAGAATGGGGTTGAAAAGCTGCATGCATTTGTGTGAAAGATGTGCCATCACATATGCATGCACATATCCTCCCTCAGTATAAAACATAGTTGTTGCATGTATGTATATGTATAAAACATATAGTTGCATACAGGTCTGAACTGTTTTCCTTTCTTTGAGGAGAGTGGTTACTTATCCACAGTTAATATGTAAAATTATTCAAATACAAATTTGAATCACTTAAGGCTTTCAGTGCTTTACTTGAATGGCCATTATTCCAGCGTGCTTAATATTTTTCTATATCTTTTTCACAAAGCTCAGAGATCGGCTCAAGAACTTCCTCAGATAGAGAAATACAGCATCAATAGTTGCTCAGTAAATGGAGGCCATGAAATGGTTGTTACAGGGTCTAACTTCATTCCAGAATCAAAAATAATATTTCTCGAAAAGGGGCAAGGTAAGTTATTCTCTTTCAGATATTTACAATCATTTAATTCTAGGATTGATGTGATACTACCAAAGGTCTATGTGTTGTAGCTAAGCATTGTGTTGTCTGTTGCACAAGAAGATACTTGGTACTGAAACATGAGTGGAGAGAGAATTCTAGTCGTGATACCTGTTGTCACCCTCTGTGTCTTTTTGTTACAACTGGAGAACTATTGGACATATTTTTTTCATCTGAACTGCGACTGCAATTAGGGTATAGCAGCCATTCTCAACGCTCCCCCCCCCCAGCCCTTTTAGGAGCTCTTCTCAGGTTCCAGGGCTCTGTCAAACAAGGATACAACAGAAACAGATACCTTTCAGAAACTTCTTTCTTGTATTTTTCAGTCTGATCCCCCCCTTCGAATGTGCCAGGGCCCCCAAAGGGCCATATGGGCCACCATTGGGAATGGCTGATGTAGAGCAGTATCTGATTTGCTATTTATAAAGCTTAATTTCTTTCTGTTGGTGCAGAATCATTCCCATGTTGAGTTGTGTCACATTTTGCTTGATTTTCCTCTGCCTTTTGGGATTGATATTTCTGACATCCTAGTACTGCTCCAGGTTTCCCACCTCTGAAAGTGCTCTTTTCAAGTGGCTGAAATCCTCTTGCTTAGTATAGTAAATAGAAGTGAGAGTAGGTCCATTGAAACAATGGCACTTACAAAAGAGTTGAGTCACCAAATCCCCACTGATTCAGTGGGGATTTGTGTCTTACTACTCTAAGCAAAAGGATTTCAGCCTTCACATTGCCTATTTTTTATGGAAAATATTCTGCCCTTCCACCGGCATGTTCTATGAATTAAACCTTTCCTTTCCAATTTCTCTCTCATTCCTACATTTTATGTATGCAATGTCCCTCTTTGGACTGTTGCTAGCATTTACAAATCTTGGGCAGATGCTTTTGATCAAGATGATTTTGCAATGTGTAGCATAAATGTAGAGGCTGTTCTGCAATGAGAGAAGCCTTTTAATTTTAAAATGGTAACTACTATTAAATAATTTGATGGCCTGTGTCATATTTAACTTTTCAGTAACATACTCTACTAAAACTTATGTCTTGACAGATGGACGGCCTCAGTGGGAAGTGGAAGGAAAAATAATTAGGGAAAGGAGTCAAGAGGTGAGAATTCTTTTAAAAGTAGGAAATTATTTTAGGTTGTTTCTTATATTTCTGTTGTGTAATTAGCTTAGCAGAAACTAAATTTTGCTGCTCACTAGTATGAAGATAATTTTTAAAGCCAATTTACTGGTTGTCCTATCAGTTGGTTTGCAAAGTGTAGGACTAGGACTTAGTACCCAGCTCATTTGCCTAGGGCTTATCTTGGAGGAGTGGCTTTAGATCTGCATCTGCCAGTGAGAAGAAAGTTCACATCCTTGCTGGTGCATTTTGATCTGTGTTTTTTCTGCCCACCTCTCAACCTCCAAGGCTTTACTTCATTGAGCGGGGCCAGAATTGAAGCCTCCCTGGTCATTCTGAAAGATATGAAGTAGCAGTAAGAAATTGACACCTCTTGAAAGAGGATGCCTTATATAAATTCAGAGTATGTTTTCACCTTCCTTAGCCTGTTTACACCAAAGTGGGCAAGCTCCACAGGCTGTTTTCCTGGCCTTAGATCCTTCAGGGGCTGCTTCATGATCTCTGGCACAGACCCTTTTCTCTAGTGAGTGTTGTTAACTTAGTAAGGACTGTTGCTCAGTACATATAGGTGGTGTTAGGTTCATCTCTTGCAATATGCAGGCAGGGCTGGCAGAGATTGTGATGTGTGGAGAAGCACTGCTGCTCTGTGTAAATGGGAGTGAGAAACACAACCTTTGCACCTGGTGCTAAAATGAGTCTGTGGGCCATATTTGCTTCAGGACTCTTTTGTACCTCCCAGGCCATTTGCACCTCTTTCTTCCCCTCCAAAATTATGAGATTAAAAAAATGAGAATTATTGCTTCCAAGAGCATTCTGGTGCAAAATTCCTTACAGCAAAGGTGTCCCCCTTTGTTTGAGCAGAAGATCAGTGAGTTAATGTGAGTTTGTCTATAAAGACTGATGCAATCTATGAAGGGCCCTGGCCCAGGAAAAATTGTCCTCCTCACCCACTCCTGGTACAGACGTGACGACAAGTGCACACGTGGGTCTCTGTCTTAATGTAGGACAAAGTAGTGTTTTCTTTCTGAGGAGCGGCAGGGAGAAGGCACTAGCGTCTTAGTGCTGTTTTATATATTTCAGAACAGAGCTGCAACATTGAAAGAAATTTTGAAGCAATGCCCTAGAGCACCCTGACTAATACTTTATTTTACTTTATTCAGAGGTGTCATGGTATCAATGACACAGAATAGTGTGGAGGAGGAGAGGTTGACAAATGCAATAATTATGTAGAAAGAAGAACTGAAGTAGTGACCCTGAGGCTTTTTATAAGCACAATTGAGAAGAAGTATGATAGTCACTTTGTGCTTGCTTTTTTTCAGCAACTAGATACCAGTCATCTCCAGGCTATTTGATGTTTGGACTGCAACATATCAGTGACCTAGATGTCCAGATTTGTATGTCTAGATTCCTGAAAGTCTGAACTTTTTTGCATATTTGAAATACATTATGTCCACCGACGTGGACGCAATTGTGCATCATACAGCTGTAGGCAGTGAAAATCTTATTGGGGTCTTTGTGTGGATTTCCCAAGGATACAAGAAAAACAATGGGAATGAGACAGTGGAGTTTGTTGACATTTCCAGGGGAAGGCTGTTCTTCAAAATAACCCCACAAAGCTTTAGGAGCCAAAGAATATGCTTTGCAGATGACTTTGTATGGTGAGGTAGCTTACATAGAAGTGGATGCATTGCTTTTAATATGTACCTTTATTCATTTTCCTTCAGTCTACAATTGTTCTTGAAGTTCCTCCATATCACAACAAAGCAATTACGTCTGCTGTCCAGGTGCAGTTCTATGTTTGCAATGGCAAGAGGAAAAAAAGCCAGTCTCAACGTTTTACTTACACTCCAGGTATAAATAACCTTTTGGGTACAAATCATGAGTGATATTTAAAATATTCTATGTTACATATATCTGTGGGTCATGAACCTGATCATACTCTCCATGGTTTTTGTTTGTTTGTTTGTGTTTTTTGCCATGAACGTGATCATACTCTCCATGGTTTTTTTTTGTTTGTTTGTTTGTATTTTTTTTGTTACAATGAGATTTGGGCATCTTGAGAAAAAAAAAGCTTAAATTGAATTTTGAGGCTTTTTCCAATGCTGCAGTTTTGGATGATGAGATGGAAAGGGTGTGTAACATGCAGCCAGAAATATTCTGAAAGCTTTAATTGCTGTTGAAAAGACATGACAGAAAAGAAATGATTTATCTGGCTGGATAATAAATCTACTTTCAACTATAAAACTTTTCAGGTATTTGTGTCTACACTAAGGCTTTTTATAGGCCTGAGTTATGGATATTTAGGGGTGCATCTGTAGTAATTGGCAGAAATAAAGTAGTTCCTTCAGTTTCACCAGTTTCATATTTGGGACAAAATGTCTATAATCTACAGAATAAGATCCCTTCAGAGGGCATGTTGCATAAATTATTTCTAGAAAGAAAAAGGACTCAGTAACATTTGCAAAGCAAATATGGTTTCTGCTGAATAAAATACTGATTGGAAATACAATATTGTCACTTTGTTCTCACTTACGGTTTATGTCCCTTTCAATCTAACTTTATTCAGCTTGCATAGGTATATGTATGTGTCATTTCAAATACAATTTTATATTATATACTCGTAATGTCTATAACTGTTGATCAGAATGTGGTCCATAGGAGTGTTCCCTACTCCACAAGATTAAAAAATTCAGGGAAAAAGGAGACCAGTCATACACACAGAAAACTTTTGTGGCAAGTCTGGCTATTTACTGACTGTTTTAGATCCCCTCCTTGGTCTTTCTTGAGGCCTCAAAATATTCAAAAATTGAGGTAGCAGATCAGTCACTTTGTTGGAGATCATTTGTTGCCTTGGGATCCCCTCACCTAGAGAAAGGTGATCTGGAAATGAAATAAATATTAAAGTAAAAGAAGAAGTGCTTAAAAGGCATACTTTTGTAGAAATTTGGGGGGATTTTATTGATCATGCATTAATAAAGTGGAAGGGAAGAGCAGCATCGCAAGAAACGTTACAGTTTTGGAAGGGGAATGGGAATCCTTGAAATAAAGAAAAAAGTGTAGTTCTCCATTGGTTCCGTTGGGGGTGGAACACTTTGTTTCAATTTTGTTTGTGTATAATTTTTGTATTTTATTTATTTGTTTGTTCAGTTTGTTGTTCTTTTGTTTCTTACAATATGTTTTCATTTAATAAAATAAAGATTAAAAAAAGAAATGAAATAAATAGAACATATAAAATGCAGAGTATTGGGGTGCACAACCTTTCAAGGTCCAGAAGAGGGAAGAAATGATTCCCAGATTCACCCTAGTTTTCCACTCCTGAGCTGTAATAACTATGTTCATTTCTAAAATAGAATGTTAGCTGAAATTTGAAAGCATTTTACCTCATTTTGTCATGCTTATTGATGTGGAGTCTACAGAATAACAAGAAAATGATGTTTTGGACTCTTACAAAAATCAGGCTTACACATTTTAAGATGGCACGCATTATTATGTGGTGTGTGTGTATGTGAATGTGTATATTTGTTTGTTCTGTCCAAATTTTAAGGTGGCACGCATTATTATGTGGTCTGTGTGTGTGAATGTGTATATTTGTGTGTTCTGTCCCCCACCCCACCCCCGGTTCCTAAAGCAACTTGTAAGCTTCTTTGTTCTGCAGAAATTCTGGTGCCCTATAATGAGGATGAATTCTTGTCTGGGTATCTAGATGGTCCAGAAATTACTTCAGCATTTTTCAACTATGTTTAATTCTCAGAACTGTTTACAATTAGAATACTTACCAAGACAACAAGTGAATTAGGAATATATTTAGGACAGCAAGGTAGGATGCATGTTGGAGACAGTATCTTGTATGCATAATAATTGATGCAGTCCACATTCCAGGCTCTTCTATCCTGAGCATAAATTGTTGTAGTTCTAACAGTATTCTGATTTAGAGTAATGTAGTATTTTACATTATCCAAATGTATTGTTCATCATTTTATCTGTGAGTTTTAAATGATCTTTTTTTCCTGAACAGTTGTACTGAAACAAGAGAACAGAGATGAAATGGATTTGTCTTCGGTTCCATCATTATCCCTGACTCATTGCACAACTGTTAAAGGACTCCCTTCTCTTCAAACTCAGCTGCCTTCCCCAGACCCAGGGCTCTCACATGACAGTTTACTTTCTACATCACCCAGGAGCCTTGTCTGCCCTGTTCAGCAAACATATACACCAATGGCACCCTCAGCAGTATCCCCGTTGTCACACATCCATGGTAGAAGCATTAGTCCAGGTGAGGAGCATCCTGTTATGTCCCCAGCTGTAGTCCACCAGTCTTTTCAGGTAACATCAGCATCTTCTGCAAGGCCTTCCTACCAGTCTATGCAATCTAATATTATGTTTAACGGACAATCTGGTCTTCCCATGAACTCTGCCTCCTCCAGCCAAGGATATGATACAATTTCATTTCATCAAGATGCAGCTCTACCTCCGTTGATAAACCTTAGCTGCCAGCCTCTACCATCTATGCCGTATCATTCTTCAAATCCAGGTTCTGTGTCTACGTCAGCTGCAACAGGGGGGCATCATCCATCAGCACACCCAGCTCAATCGTCAAGACAGTCGTCACCTCTGCAGTTAATGGGGTACCATTGTGCAAATCCTCAACAAAGTTCAGTTCCTTCTGCAGTTTCTCAGCCTCTTGGACTTTCTTCTACGCAGTTGCAGCAAGTCACGTACCATCCTTCAAATCCAGGTAACACTTCATCACCATCACCCAAATCTTCTCATTCTTTGGTCCATTCACCACGATCTGGGCCATCTTCTCCTCAATTGCAGCCTATGCCTTACCAGACTCCTAGCTCAGGACCTGCCTCCTCTCCTCCTCCGGCTGGTCTTAGTCACTCTGGACAACAGTCCCCACAGGCGCATAGCCCAAGTTTGGGAGGAATTGCTGCAACTTCATCTTTGATGCATCATAACATATGTGACACATCTCCATTTTCATCAGAGGGCTCAACTGTTAGCATTAAACCTGAACCTGAAGATCGGGAGTTGAATTTTCAGGCAATGGGGCTGCAAGACATCACCTTAGATGATGGTAAGTGATGTTGTCTTTGAGGTGCAAAGCTGAGCAGCTTGCTCCTTTTTGGAGCAACCATAGAATAAAAGTGACCTTTGCAGAGCCTGATCCAAGCTCTCTATATATCCCATTTTAAACTGTCCTGGGCTTCCCCATTCTGTCCAGTTTGAGAGGCAGCTATAAGCACAACTGAGCAATAGGTAGTTTCCCACCAAGGGGCTGAGGTTGATAGCAGGGCTTTAGATGCACCAAGAACCTTTGGTTCAGTTGATCAGCCATCTCTTGGCAAACTGTGGACATTATTTTTAGTGTCATGTTTAGTAGATATAGAAGATAAAATATAAGTAGAGAACAAGGCTATTACAGCTTGCTAGGGTTTGTTCAAAATGGGTATTATGATAGCAAGTTTCATAATACATCTCCAGGTGTTTGGTTACAAATCGTGGGATCTGGACATGGCACAATTTAGGGGTGGGATACTTAGTTTTGACAGCCCAGCCTCTCCTAAAATCAGCTGGCAGTCTCACTGTTGGTTTGCTGTTGTCATTCAGCTTATCTAGATAATTAAAATCCTCCATACATTAGAGAACACCAGATTGGATAATACTGTAATATAGGCAGACAAATCCTAAAGTGCTGAAACTACCTTTCCATATAGACTATGTATTCCTTGTGCAGAGCATCTCAGTAGAAAGGTCTGTGTTTCAAAATGCTATTACATTCCTTTATTATCTCATTCTTGAGTCCAAAAATCACTATTCTAAAAAGCAATAAACATTAGCGATTCTTTTTGATTGAGGGTAGAAGAGAACTACTTTGGGATTATCAAGCCAATGTTTTTGGAAAGCACACTATCCACTACCGTAGAGGTAGGGCAAAGGAAAAGAATCCATTCGCAACAACCCTACTGTCCCAATGAAAGAATGTGAATTCAGTTACTTAAACCTCTGGACACTTGAGTTGAGATGATTTTGTTTGACTGTCTCCCTGTTCCTTAGGCCAGCGGCCCCCAACCTTTTTGGGATTGTGGACCGGCTGGGGGGGAGCAAGCTCCATGCGGGGGCTGGAGATCCGTATCCACAGCCCATTTCCGGCAAGCCCACAGACCGGCACCAGGCCACGGACCCGGGGTTTATGACCCTTGCCTTAGACCACTGGTTCTTAAAAAAGCTCCGTGTGGGGGGCTGGAGATCCATAACCGCAGCCCATTTCCGGCAAGCCCACAGACCGGCACCAGGCCACGGACCCGGGGTTTATGACCCTTGCCTTAGACCACTGGTTCTTAACCTTGGGTTACTCAGGAGTTTTGGACTGCAACTCCCAGAAGCCTTCACCACCAACTGTGTTGGCTGGAGTTTCTCGGGGTTGATGACCCTTGCCTTAGACTACAGGAGAAGGAATAAATTTGACTAAAGTTGTTTAACAATATGGCATGTCTCACTGAGAGTGAGGGTGGTGTCATAGATAAAAGTGTTGGACCAGGATTTAAGAGCCCTCGAGAAGGAATAAATTTGATTAAAGTTGTTCAACAATATGGCATGTCTCATTGAGAGTGAGGGTGGTGTCATACATAAAGTGTTGGACCAGGATTTAAGAGCCCTCAGTTCCAATTCCTGCTTGGCCATTGAAACTCACTAGTTGGGTGGCTTGGGCAGAAACATGGCTTAAATATCTCACATGCCTTGAAAACCTTGTTAGAGTTCCTGTGAGCCAGAAGTAACTTGATGACACAGAAGGCAGTGTGTCTTTTTGAGACAACAAACCTTTTGATGTTTTCCTTGAGTGCTGATTATAGTATAAGGTGGAATGCACTGTAATACTTTGTGGAATTTATTTTAGGCCCTTTCAAAGTCAGAAGTGCAAAATTAACACAAAATTTCTGCATAAAGTAATAGCTGTGTTCTATGTTACATTTAAGATTTTTGGAACTTTTTGGATTTTTGGATTTTCTTCCATGTGGCTTCCTAAAGTTGTATTAAAATTAACACAAAATTTCTGCATAAAGTAATACAGTAGTTGTGTTCTGTGTTACATTTAAGATTTTTGGAACTTTTTGGATTTTTGGATTTTCTTCCATGTGGCTTCCTAAAGTTGTATTTCTCTGTTATTACTGACAGCTAATTTAGTCTCATATTCTCTTATAGTGCAGATTCCTTTCACAGCAGTTGTATAATGAATCCATATGTGTTTATAAAACCTGCTGTGCTTGTTTGCTGTATCAATACACCATGAATGCAATTTAAAATGAACACCTCAGGATAGAATGATAGTATCATGTCACTGGCATAGGTAATTTTCAGTTCATAGTAGGTAATGAAATGACAGTTAACGAAGCTCCCGAATCAGTAGTGTGAATTGTCAAGCTTGTGGTCTGTGTACAGCCTGCCAAGGACATGGTTGCAGGAGGAGACAGGATGGGTGTGCCCATCAGATTCCCTGTGGTTGCCCACTTTGGTCCCAGATATTTGCAAAACGTTAACAGTTTTTGAAAACTTGCTGAGTAAATGAAAATCTAGAAGGTGTTGTGTTTACTGACTAAGGATGCTCGAGTTTTCCAGAAAATTCATATTTTTTCTATTAGCTCTTTTTGAATAGGACATTGCTTTTACTCCTTAAACCTGTTTTAAACAGTTCTGAATAATACAATGAATAGATTTTGCTAACTTGAATGCAAAATTTCTCTATATAGCATAACAGTAATTTGTGAAATCTTTGTTAATCAGCTTCAGTTTATGCTAACCTTGAGTTATGTTCAGTATCAGATTATGATGACCTTCTTTCTAATCTCCTTTTACTTCCTTATCTGCTGTATCTCCCATTACACAAAGCTGTAGATTAGAACACCAAATAATAGGCTGCATGTTCACTCCAGAGCACAGCCAGGTCTCTGTTGGGTTCCTATGCAAGATAGGAGTCTGCTTTGGAAGTAGGCCATGAGCGCATAATGAACATTCATTCATTCTCTTCCCCTGCTACCAATATCTTCCTTACCTGTGTGCTGTTCTAGCTTGCTCATGCTTAAGCCTGAGTATGTGGATTTTGAGGGCATGTTCCTCAGATACTGGTGGATTGCAGCTCCCGTAAGTCCCATCTAGCATATCCAGTGGTAAGCAATTGTGAAAATTGTGGCAAAGCAGCATCTGGATTACCACAGGCTTTTAGTTCATGCATTGAAGCACATAGATACTCTCTTGCTCAGTTCTGTGGGCCCAGCAGCAAAGCTCCTTGCACTGAGCAACTGCCTTCAAGTACTTTGGCAAAATACTTTCATTTGATTGGCTATTAGTAGCGCTGTGGATGTTGTGCCCCTGCCCTCCGTGTCACCTAGAACATCTAAATCTGAAATACAAGTCTTTTGCACATCCTCTTGATAACAAATGAGCTAAGTTGGAGGTGCATCTCCACAGTATAGAACAGGACAATCGACATGATGATACAAAACATATGCAAAACATATGGTCCACCACTAAGCTGTGGCCCTTCACCAGGAGACTTTTCCATGGGGAGCTGTGGCTTGATCAAAACCTATGGCTGTTGCAGTCAAATGGAGGCTTACGTATGCATGCCAGTGCTTACTAGGACTGATGTCTGCTATTCATTGTCCTTTTACAATTACCATGTTTACTTCTTGTACTGAATTGCATTTACAGCTGTTGCTGAGAGTGACGTCATGGGTAATGTTATGTTTTCCTTTTCTGGTTAGAAACAGCGGTAGTGGGAGAAGATAAAGAGAGAAATGAGTGCAGCAGTATCAAGAAATGCTTGCCAAATGTTGCCAAAGAGGCAGTTCTGAAGTAAGCAGGTGGTGAGCAACTGCTCACTGTAAGGTTATTGTTGAATTTACCACATTTTGCTAGTAAGGTAAAGGTTCCTCTTGACTTTTAGTCCAGTCGTGTCCAACTCTAGGGCGTGGTGCGCATCCCCATCTCCAAGCTGTAAAAGCCAGTGTCTGTCCATAGACAGTTTCCGTAGTCACGTGGCTAGTGCGACTAGACACAGAATGCCGTGACCTTCCCACCATGGGGGTCCCTATTTATCTACTTGCATTTACATGCTTTCAAATTGCTAGGTTGGCAGGAGCTGGGACAAGTGATAGGAGCTCCCTCCGTCACATGGATTCAATCTTACGATGTCTGGTCTTCTGACCTCGCAGCACAGAGGCTTCTGCGGTTTAACCTGCAGCACTGCCATGTCTCTCCTCTTTTTTTGCTAGTAAAGGAGGATGCAAAAGTGTTGGTGTATCCTGTATGTGCTATGTTGTGCTCGTATGGCCAAGCTCCTACACTTTTAGTATTTGCTCCTTTTGCTGAAAGTCACAGAAGACCATTGCTCGTATTAATTTATGCCATGTTAGAGATAAGGAAAACAACTGGCAACTTAATAGCTGTTAGCAAATACAGTATTCTATATCCTACAGTACTGTATCTTCTATGCCTCTTCAGATTAACATTGACAGTTTGGTGCTACATCGTAACTATATGGGGATAGGAGTTTTCTGAAAAACATAATTTCAGTATTTAATACTTTTACATCAGTTGACAATTTGATGCTACATCGTAACTACATGGGGATAGGAGTTTTCTGAAAAATGTTATAATTTCAGTATTTAATACTTTTACATCAAAGGCTCATAGGTGCCTAACAAAGGCACATAATTTGAGTTGAATATGTATCATAGCATTTATAATGGCTCTCTGGAACTCCTGAGAGCTCGTCATTGTTACTAACACTTTGCCAAGAACATATTAACACCTCATTCTTAAGTGTACATGAACAGAATGAATTTTAGGCACACTAGTCACAGTATACAAATTATTAAACAACTTGATGTCCATTTTGTGCTGGGTTGCCCAGAGACAGATATAGTGTATCTCAAAAAGTCCTCACTTATTAGTCAGGTGTATTCTATTTCTATGTTTGGAGCAGAAATAGGGCTTGCCCATGTCATCCTGTCTCCTTATGTGTGCATTGAATGCAGTTGTCTGTAAAGGAATGCCACATGTATGGGGATTCCTTTG